AGACCGTCCGAGCGGTGCATTCCAGGCTCAAATCAAGCGCACTGCTGATTTTTTTTTCCTCCTTCAAAATATGCTGGTGTTGAAGCCGTGTCAGAAAAGAGGCAGACTGCTAAACCACAAAACTTAGTCAGAGAGGGCATCAAGGCCACTGTGGCCTTATGGCAGATATCATTTTTAAGGGCACAAGGCCAAAGTGGGAGGGCCCTCGTGGCCCTCGTGAAATTCCTGCCCTGCAGTGCCAACATAAAATATTCATAACTCTGTTAATGATGTATTTGCTCATTCCTCTCTTCAATTTAATTTCTCAATGTTCCAGGTTCACATCACCATTATGGACAACAACGACAACACTCCCATATTCTCCCAACCGACCTATGATGTCACTATTTCTGAAGACACGCCCCCTGACACTGAAGTGGTCCAGGTTCTGGCGTCGGACCGGGATGAGCATCACCAGCTGACCTACTCTCTGCAGAGCTCCATAGACCCCAGTAGCATGCGCCTGTTCCGCATCCACTCCAGCCTTGGTACTATCTACACCACCCAGAGGCTGGACCACGAGGCCTGCGCCCAGCACATCCTGACTGTCCTTGTAAGTGTTTGCCATTTACTTTTATTTAGGATCTCATGATAACAGCTGTGACTCTTTGAGTTATATTTTCCACTGAGAGGATCCAGTCTTGTCTGCATGTCTGTGTCCATAGAAATATGTTCTTATTTTAAGGTCATTCAGTCCTTGTTTAATTTATCATGCTGGTGGTTCACAGACTATTTTGAGCAGCAAGCAATTAAAGGTACAAGCTGCAAGCTGTAATTATTCGTTTTACTGCAGAATAGAGGTATGTTGGTACACAACATTCATGATTTGATATTTATTTCCTTGGGCTCACAATTGAAATGTGTAGCAGTCAAAACAAACTTGAGGCTTTTGCGAACATCGCTCAAAACATTTGGAGTTGGGAACTGTTTTCTGTAGAAGCTGCTGCATCCCGTCCTCAGAGTAAATTGCCAGAAGCGCCGAAACTTCCTCATCATTCCACCGCTCCGGTGTTGTAGTACGTGTGGTCATAACTGGTTTAAAGTACAAAAAAACTACTCGCTCAGGTGTGGATGTGGTTTTGTAGTGAGGAAAAAAATGGCTGCCTAACAAGAAAAATTCAGAGTCTAACGGGGCGTGGTTTGCAATTCGCCCAGCCAATAGAAATAGAATAGAAATTGGTACTCTTTTATCACCAGGTTCGTACTACCTCTCTAGCAGGGACTGAAAATGGCCAAAAGAGTTCCCGGCACTGAGTAGTCCCGGCGGTGTGAACGCGACATTATTGGTACTAACGGAACTAAAGAACCAAAGTAACAGGGAAAGTCCTGCGGTTTGAATGCGGCTATTATAAATATCAAGACATGGATGACTGAACTGAAGCAAGTTGCGTACTAAACTGAAGATCTTGGAGATCCAATGACCACACGGTTCGATAGTGTTATAATACTTGTATGATATTCAATACAGTATGTAAAGTTGACTCTTTAGAACTTAGTTCTTTCAATGGGCTTGAATTTGAGTAAAACAGCCAAAAGACACCAGTTCTGAAGCACTAAAGCACTTTTAGTTGGACCTGATACACTAATCCTACACCAGAATGGGGATCTGTTTTATTGACAAATATTTGGAGAGCGCAGTGATTTTTTTATGTTTTACTATGGTAATGGAGAACACATTTTGATTTTCTTGCAACTTCAATAACCAAGGTCGGGTCTGTGGTTATTATACTCTTATTAGTTATAAGTCTTAAGTGGATAGGACAAGAGTAGCCCTTTCAAATAAGAAATGGTGTCTCATATGTAGAGAAGCGGGCGAGCAAGAAGCAATCAATAAGTCTGTGCTATCATTATATTTGAACTCATACATTTGCACGGAAGCTAATTAGCATGCGGTAGCAGTATGACTAGGCCTGCAAGATATTGGGAGAACTGAAATTGCAAACTGTTTTTCTGCAGTTTATATTGCATAATGGAAAAAAATAGGAATATAATTTAGAGGTTAAACGCATTCATCTTTAGTAAGGTTTACAGGGTTATTGCAAAGGTGCAGATTTCACTGTCAAGGCTAAATATATCTTTCAGCCCTAATCTACATTGATCTAAGGACAGGAGATTGGATACGTTTATACTGAAACACATCGTTATATCAAACACTAAGCCAACATTTTTAACAATGTGACATTTTGGGAAATGCATGTGGCGAAGGAAAGTGTAATCGCGAAGGTTCTGGCGTGATATTTTCAATGTTGTTTTTGGACAATGATGTCTCTGTGCACATTTGAAATTCTTAAATTACATGATAATCAGATGGTACACTCTGTAGTGACCTCAAAGGATGCCTTTTTTTCCTTTTTTTAATTCACAGGTAAAGGACCAAGAGTTCCCATACAGAAAGAACCTGGCTCGTGTGCTAGTAGAAGTGGAAGATATCAATGACCATGTACCAATCTTTACCAGTGCGCTTTATGAAGGCTCAGTCTACGAGTCAGCAGCAGTGGGATCAGCTGTGGTTCAGATTACAGCCTTGGACAAAGACAAGGGCGAGAATGCAGAGCTACACTACTCCATTGAAACAGGTACGCACCTCTGAAAGCAAAATACTTTCTCTTGTACTTTGATTGTTTTTAAATACTTTATAAATAATTACCCTACCTATTAACCACTACATTGATATAACTGTTTTTGATTTTCCAACAGGAAACACTGGAAATGCTTTCCATATTGAACCAGTTCTGGGCATAATCACTGTTGCACGGGACTTGGACTTGTCCAGCATAGGCTATTATGTTCTTACCATCAGAGTCACTGACAATGGCTCTCCTCCCCTGTCCACCACCACTATAGTGCGCATAGCTGTCACTCTCTCTGATAATGCCGGACCAAAGTTCCCCCAGCCTGAATACCATGCTGAAATCACAGAAAACGCTGTGGTTGGGACCTCTGTCAACACAGTCAGTGCAGTCAGCCAGTCCACCCTCACTTATGACATAAAGAAGGGCAACGCAGGTCGTGTCTTTCAGATAAATCAGTACAGTGGAGTGATTACTACTCAAAAGACTCTAGACTATGAGACTACAGCATCTTACACCTTGATAGTCCAGGCTACAAACATGGCTGGCATGGCCTCCAATGCTACTCTGTTGATCCAGGTAGTGGATGAGAATGATAACCCACCAGTTTTCCAGCAGCTTCACTATCATGGCAGCATCAGTGAGGCAGCACCAGTCAACAGCGTGGTCCTGAACTCAGATGATTCACCTCTCGTAATTAAGGCCACTGATACTGACCACAACCAAAATGCTCTTTTGGTCTACCAGATTGTCGAGGACACTGCAAAAATGTTCTTCACAGTGGATTCTGGGACTGGATCTATCAGAACAATAGCTAATCTTGACCATGAGACATTTGCCACCTTCCACTTCCATGTCCATGTGAGGGACAATGGCAGGCCACAGTTGACAGCAGACAGTCCAACAGAGGTCACAATACAAGTCATTGACACAAATGATTCACCACCTCGCTTTACCCAGGATGCCTATGAGACAGTACTGTTACTTCCCACCTACGTGGGAGTGGAAGCTCTGCAGGTTTCAGCCATAGACCCTGACAAAGATGTCCCTTCAGAGCTCACCTACTCTCTGACTGATGGTGTGCTGGAGCACTTTGCCATCAAACCTTCCAGTGGAGTCATCACAGTCAAAAACAACAACTTCTCCAAAGAACGTTTTCGCTTCAGTGTCAAAGTTTCCGATGGGACATTTTCCAGCACATCTTTAGTTACCATTCTGGTCCGAGAGGCTCTGGACTCTGGTCTCAGCTTCTCTCAGACCCTTTACTCTACATCTATTCAAGAGAATGTATCTAATATCACCAAAGTGGCTGTTGTCAACGCTGTGGGAAACCGTCTAAATGAACCATTGAAGTACACCTTGTTAAATGCTGGGACAAGTTTCATAATTCGTCCAACTTCTGGTGTGATCCAAACCACAGGTATACCCTTTGACCGTGAAGAGCAAGAGTTCTATGAACTGGTCGTTGAGGCCAGAAGGGAGCACGACCGTCTGCACGTGGCAAGGGTTATGGTCAGAGTCCAAGTTGAGGACATAAATGATAATTCCCCTGTGTTTGTTGGACTGCCTTATTATGCAGCTGTTCAAGTAGAAGCTGAGCCAGGATCACCCATTTTCAGGGTCATGGCGGTAGATGGAGACAAAGGCATTAATGGAGAGGTGTCTTACTATCTAAAGGAAAACCATGATCACTTTGATATCAACCAGCTGACAGGTGGTCTAAGCCTCAAGAGGGCTTTTGAGTCTGACCTGTCTAATATGGAATATCAGATGGTGATATATGCCAGAGATGGTGGTTATCCACCCCTCTCATCTACCATAGAGTTCCCCATCACAGTTGTCAACAAAGCCATGCCTGTCTTTGACAAACCATTTTATTCTGTTTCTGTGAACGAGGATGTTGCTGTGCAGACACCTATTCTCGGCATCAACGCCACTAGTCCTGAAGGTCAAAGCATTATCTACACCATAGTTGATGGAGACCCATCTTTACAGTTTGACATTGGTTTTGATACTGGAGTCGTAAGCGTCATCCACTCTTTGGACTACGAAGCAGCATCGTCTTATCATCTGACCATCAGAGCCACAGATTATCTGACCGGTGCCCGTGCTGAGGTGGCTGTAAATGTGGTTGTCCAGGATGTAAACGATAACCTACCAATCTTCCAAAAAATGTCCTACAGGGTCATTTTGTCGGAAACAGCCATGATTGGAACTCCAGCACTTCAAGTTATTGCCACTGACAAAGACTCAGATAAAAACAATGTTGTTCGTTACCAGATCTTCTCAGATGTGCACAACAGAACAGACTACTTTCATATTGATAGCAGCAGTGGATTAATCCTGACAGCACGTATGCTGGACCATGAACTCGTCCAAAAGTATGACTTCATTGTCAGGGCCACTGATAATGGCTTCCCCCCATTGAGTAGTGAAGTATCAGTCATAGTTGTAGTTAATGACATGAACGACAATCCACCAGTTTTCAATCAGCTACTCTATGAGGCATATGTGAATGAGTTAGCACCCAGGGGTCACTTTGTAACCTGTGTCCAGGCCTCAGATGCCGACAGCTCTGATTTTGACAAGTTGGAATACAGCATTTTGTCAGGAAATGAAAGAATGAACTTTATGATGGACAAAAAAACAGGAGTCATCACATTGTCCAGCCACCTTAAGCAAAGAATGGAGCCTGCCTACAGCCTCAACGTTTCAGTGTCTGATGGGGTGTTCACCAGCACCGCACAGGTCCATGTCAAGGTGTTGGGGGCCAACCTGTTTAGTCCTGTGTTTGGACAGAACATGTACGAGGCAGAGTTAAGAGAAAATTCTGCGGTGGGAACCAAAGTTATACAAGTAAGTGTTATTGAAATAATTTTAGACATTTTATTTTTAATTGTATAGTGGAACAATACTAACATATAAGTGTAATTCTAAAATACTCATCTCTGCATTTACCTTTTCATTGCAGGTAAAGGCAACGGACGCAGACCCTGGAGTGTTTGGTCACATCACTTTTTCATTTGTAAATGATGTGGGAAACGACCAATTTAACATTGATGCAAATGGCCAGATCACCACTGTAGAAAAGCTTGACCGTGAGGACCCAACCAATAAGGACATTGTTTTGACAGTGGCAGCCCAGGACTCAGGAGGACGTGTCTGTTACTGTACAGTACACGTTACTCTGTTGGATGATAATGATAATGTTCCTCGCTTCCGTGCTACCGAGTACCGAGCTTCAGTGAAATCTAATGTAGCTAAAGGGTTTATGGTGACACAAATTCAGGCTTATGATTCTGATGATGGCACGAATGCCAAAGTAACATATTCACTTTACAGTGAGGCCCATGTCCCTGTGGTAGACATTTTGGAGATAGACCCAGACAATGGATGGATGGTGACTAAAGGCAGCTTCAGCCACTTGAGGAACTCCGTTTTATCTTTTTTTGTGAAGGCAGTTGATGGAGGTAATCCAGTACGGCACTCTTTAGTGTCTGTCTACATCCATGTTCTTTCTCCAGATGCCTTCATTCCTTCCTTTAGCCAACATCAATACTTATTTAGCCTACCAGAGGATACCCCCATAGGTTCAGCCATAGGGACGGTGCACCTTAACACTTCTCCTGGACATGCCTTGCTCTCAGCTACCTTTGCCCTGGTCAACGGAGAGATGGGAGAAAACAACCAAGATGGGATGTTTGTGGTGGAAAAGGATACAGGTGTGATCAAGCTTGATAAACCCTTGGACCATGAGGTGATAAAAGGTTACCATTTCAAAGTCACTGCCATTGTACAACAGGCTAAGCTGGATTCTGTCACTTCTGTTGATATTGAAATCAAAGTCTTAGATCTAAATGACAACAAACCAGCTTTTGAAGCCAATTCATATGAGGCCACAGTTATGGAGGGAATGACAATTGGAACCAGAATCATTCAAGTCCAAGCATTAGACCCAGACTCAGGGGCAAATGGCCAGGTAACATATAGTCATGGGACATTAATCCAGTCAGAAGCGGAATCAGACGCATTGGTTGGAACCTTTAGCATTGACAGTAACACAGGCTGGATCTCCACACGCAAGGACCTGGACCACGAGACGAATCCATCCTACACATTCACAGTGATTGCCTCTGACCTTGGGGAGACCTTATCTCTTTCCAGTACAATCACTGTGACCGTAGCAGTATCAGACATCAATGACAATCCGCCCATGTTCCTGGAGCAACGCTACTTTGGTTCAGTTCAGGAGAGCGACCCACCAGGCCAGGTGGTGGCTGTGCTGAACACCAGAGATGATGACAGCTCTGCTGTTAACCGTCAAGTCAGCTACCACATCACTGGTGAGTACCAATGCCTAAATGTCTGTCATTGCATTGAAACCATATGAGCAGACAAAGATGTTGATATGTAATGATTCTACATATCCCAGGATCATATCTCATTAGGTTTTTATTTTTATCCCATCTAAGGCCATTGTTTTGGTTTGTTACTTCTTACTTTCAACATTATCTTTGCATGATCCCTTTGTGAAGTTAACATTAGGAACAGTTTGTTTTTATGTCAAGTAAACCTTTGTTAAAGTGTGGTTGGTTAAGGGACCATCGTAGCTAAGGTTAGAAAGGTTAAATGCTAATTGCAGTTAATTGAAGCAATAAAAACCTGATTTATTTTAGGAAAATCTGACCCTTTAAATATGCCTGCTTCACCCAGAACGCCACAACCTTCATTTAGGATTTAGGCACATGACAGGCGGGTGCAAAAGCATCCAACATGGACTGAATTTGTTGGGATACTGGGCTGTGTATCGTGGCTCATCTGTCTGCAATCTAAAATGACTGAATTGTGTTTTCTTGCTGTCTTGGTTTACCCAAGCTACAGTATCAGACTTGTTGAGTGAGAAACAGGAAATATGTGATGATATTTTCATGGCGTATTAGCATTAAACAGCCTGTGACATTTACCCAGTTGCAGTTCTCTAGATGTCAATGAAGTAATAAATAGAGTAGATTTAAAAACTGCAGCACATGTAATGAAAGCTGCTTTAACCATGTTGAATTGTATCTTTTGCATTTTGAATAGATATGGAGATCAGTTGTTTTACATAAAGACGCACATAAGTAATAAAATAGCAACAAGAAAAAGGGAAGGCAAGGTAAATTGTGAAAATGCAGTAATAATCTGGAAAGTGATCAAAGTACTGACTTAGTTAATTTGTTGGCTGCTCATTGACACGCCAGGCAGCTTTAATGGAGTGAGGCCTTCCCAGGACACTAAGGCAGAGGACTACCTTGCCAACAGGAGATAGAGAGCTAATTAATGACTTTTAATAGGAAGGAATCCTTCCCCTAATGGCATTGTAATAAGTATCAGACAGACAGCTCTAGTGAATGATAGACATGTGAGTGATGTGACCTTATAGATGATAGCTAAAGAGGAGGCAGGCAAGGAGGAATGAGCTACTCTGAAGTGCAGGGAGAGAAAGACATTTTGTATATATATATATAGATAACAGATATGCCAGTAAAACTAAGCGAATAAGCCTTCAAAAATACTGACGAACGTGACCTTTTTTACTTTAAAGAGAGTACCAATTCATGTTCTTCAATATTAGAGGGCCAAAGCAAATCACGACAGAATGTAGAGACACACTCATATTTGTTAAGAAACAAATGCCTCATTCAGTTTCATTTATAGTGATAATGATACTGACAGATGGGAATATATTTGATTTGAATTTTGCAATCACCTGCTCTCTTTTCACAGTATTATACATTACGCTAGATTTATTATGGGCTCAGCAGTTCCCTTGGAGATTTCACACCTTCATGGAAATCAAGAAAGTGTGAAAGACAGACAAAATCCCATTGCTTGGTACGGAGGTTGCACTTTAGGACAACATTAATATTTTTGTATTACTCTTTTTATTTATCAAATTAGGAATATTTTAAACACTGCTGGTATACAGTGCTCTAAGTGTTAGCATGTTGGATCTGTTTCCATTCACCATACAACAGTGGAACAATGCAAACACACCCTTTTAGTCTCATACACAACCATTTATATTTCTGTTGTAGCTGACCAGGAACCTGCCTACAGTTTTTCAAGCTTAGTTCCTTTTGCCCTCGCCATAGTGTCACTCATTCAAATGTAAATTAGCCTGCTGTGCTAACATTAGCATATTATGCTAGCACTTTGCAGGTAAAAGTTTCCCTGTGGAACTTCACTTGTGGTTTTTGGTTTTGCATTATGTAAATCAATCTTAGTTCTTTGTACATACACAATTCAGCATTTAACCATCCACACAAATTCATACAGAGGCAGAGACATTCACACACCGTTGGTCATGCCATTTGGAGCAATTTGGGTTAAGTATCATGCCTAGGGACACATTGACACGTTTACTGCAGGTCAGGCTGGGAATCACAACACCATCACGACTGGTAGACGACCACATTCACCCTCACAGCCACAGCTGCCCCAGCGTAATGTGATGATATCACATATGCCACAGCAACCCAGTCTCACAACATTTCGTGTTATAGTCACGAAATTAATTTAATCTATTGATTCGTGTTCACCAACACGATTTTCAATTTTTTTTCGTGTCATACAGAACGATTTTAAAAGCAATGTATTTCTATTGGTAATATGTTTCGTGCCCTGCAGCACGTCTTTTAGTCCGGTCGGGTCGGGTCTTGGAATACCAGAAGCTGTGTGGTCCATAAAAACATTTTCTTGCTCAATATCTTACCCTAAGCCGAACCCTATCCCTTTTATTTAAAATTGTATAATTTCTATTTTTTTTTGCCATCCGGGGGGAAAGTAAAGGGGGCAAAGATCCTCAGAATACTGAAATCTGTATTTTTTGTCATCTTTATTTCATTCTAATTTGTTATTATTTGGTGCAGGCACGAAACATACTAGCAATAGAAATACATTGCTTCTAAAATCGTTCTGTTTCAGAATACTGAAATCTGTATTTTTTTTGTATCTGTTTTTCCTTCTAATTTGTTATTATTTACATTGCTTTTAAAATCGAAAAAAATGGCGAAATCGTGTCGGTGAATACGAATCAATAGATTAATTTTGTGACTGTAACACAAAATGCCGTGAGACTGGGTTGGCCACAGAGAGGGTTAGATACTAACAGCACACAGCTGTGTATTCGGGTTCTCTTTCACACCTGTGTTTGTCAGGCTTAAAGAAGAAAAAGAAACATGGTTTCCTTTTTGCTCTGGCCTTGCAAACAAACCAATGGGAAAGAACAAGCTTTAATATTTTCATTAAGCCTTTAAAATCCTTTGTAGTCTGTCAAACAAATGTGACTTTCAGTTGATCATCTTTTATAATTGCCACTGTAATAGATATACAACACTTTTTTTTTCACTGTTCACACTCTTCTTTCTTAACCCATTGGTCTGTGAGAGAGGACAGAGCTGCCTAGAGATTGATGTGTGGAGGATTGTGCTTCTTCGGCTTGACAGTCTAGTTAAATGGGTCGGCAGCCCCCAGTGCTCCTATAAATCCTCAGTTTTATTGTCTAACCTTTATCCACTGCTGCAACATTAATTTCCCTGTACTGTTCACATAAAGCAGCCACTATTATTAATGGCATAAAATATGTTTTTTTTACTTCAAGAGTGCAGTGGGTCAAAACATTGTCTCTACAGTTAATGTTTGCACTTTAATATTGGCTTTATGTGAAGCCATTTGCCTAGTTTACCAGGTGTGTTTAGAATAAGAGAAACACCATAGGCCTACAATAGAGTGGCGAAGTCACGCCCATCTACTTCCGCCCCATGGGGCCTTATTCCTGAAAAATTATGTATTGAAGTCAATAGAGAAAGAAAACGTATCTTTCAATCCCGTTTGAATTGTGCCATGAATTACATATATGATGTTTGTCAATCTTAAAAAATAATTTCCATGTCAAAAAAGTCACAGTTTGTCGTAAAACGGCTTGGCTCTACGGAACTGACTAACTCCCCTTGTGTGTATGTAAGCTAAAGGATCTTTTAAATTGACAAACATCATATGTGTAATTCGTGGCACAATTCAAACTGGATCGAAAGATAATCTTTATCCCTCCATTGACTTCAATACATGATTTTTCCAAAATAAGGTCCCATGGAGGTCCACCGGAAGGGGAGGGAATTCACCACTCTATAAAACAGAGGTGTGGCCTGAAGCCACATGACAAGCTTGGACTTGAGTGATGACTCATTACTTCACCAATTTTTATAAAGCCTTGTGATAAACTCCATGTTGACAGTCATACCTGAAATGTTTTCCCTTATCCTGTGTTTGTGTGCTCTTGTGCATGATGTCCAGGTGGAAACTATCGTGGTGTGTTTGCACTGGGTCTGGTTCAGGGTGAATGGAAGATGTATGTGAAGTGGCCCCTGGACAGGGAGGAACGCAACCTCTACATCATCAATGTCACTGCTAGCGATGGACTCTTTGTTTCCCAGGCAACGGTGGAGGTGACAGTGATAGACACCAATGACAATAGCCCCATCTGTAACCAGGTGAGGAATAAATTATCATTCAGTCGAATTACAGGGATCGTTAAAGACAGTGGCATGGGGCAGGAATTTTGAGATGCTCTGCCAGTGTCCCACATTTATTTTACTTAGCTAATTGTAAATGTGTGTGTGTGTGTGTGTGTGTGTGTGTGTGTGTGTGTGTGTGTGTGTGTGTGTGTGTGTGTGTGTGTGTGTGTGTGTGTCTGCAGGCTGTACACACTGCCTCTGTTCCAGAGGACCTTCCAGTCAACAGTGTGCTGCTGAAGGTTGGGGCTACAGATGCAGATGTAGGCATCAGTTCCTGGATCCAGTACTCCTTACATGGTCCTGGATCCCAGGACTTCATCATGGACCCAGACACCGGTACTAAGGATGGCTTTGAAAGAATACCCATACTTTTATTTTGGAACAACAATTAATACATAGTCTTTCTTACACTGAACTTGCATCAGTTGTAACTAGCCTCAGTCCGATATTGAGTTAAAAGGGATAATATGCATGACTTCAGGGTAATTCAAGAATCATCAACACGTCGGTTTTTCTTTCGCTAATTACTAAATAATGCAATAATGTTGATATAAACAAGATTTTAATGATTTAAAAATAACACAAAGCAACGGCTGGAACTGCAGCAATCGTGATGTAAATTAACAACACTAATCGAGGTATTTTCCCTTAACCAGCCTTCAAACTATCCCTAGCAACAGTTTGCTATCAAAAGAGAGCAGATCACTAGTTCAGAATCAAGTTTTCAACTAAGCTGCCGTGTAATAACCTTAAATAATAATAATAATAATAATAATATCATGTTGCTTACACAGTTAACCACACATGTTATCTGTGGTGCAATTGTGCTGCACACTGTCATGGCTCTAAATGTGTCACCGGTTGTTTCTTACCTGTCTAGGTGAGGTCAAGTCATCTACGACTCTCGACCATGAGATGACACCCTACTACCGGCTAGTTGCCCAGGCAACTGATGGTGGTGGGCGATGGTGCCGTGCTGAGGTGCATCTGGACGTTACTGATGTGAATGACAACCCGCCCATATTCACGTCGACACACTACACCGCCAGCGTGTACGAAGATACCGCCCCCAAAGCCCTGCTCACCCGCATCCAGGCCATAGACCCTGATGAAGGTGATACTGTTGTACTACTGCTTCAAATGCTACTATGTTTTTTAATAAAAAGAAAGAAACCCTTGCATTAATCTAGAATAGCAGATGGCAAATGAGGAAGATACAATTGAAAAGTTATTAATGATGGAGGCAAAAGCAGAGGCAGGTACAAAGACAAAGAGCCTAGGAGTAACAAGTCAAACAAATGAACAAGGAACAGAGAAATAGGTGAAAATAAATACCTAAAATACAGTTCAAGTTAAACGTATATTGTATGACAACTCTGTGTCTGTGTAATCTTGACTAAATTAAATTCACAAATGGGAACAACAAAGGGTTGCACTTGGTTGTTCACAGAAAAATTGACAGAGATAGTTGTGGGAGGAATGAAAAAAGCGAGCCTAACACAGAAGTTCAAAACACAGACTAAAATCACTACGATTGTGTGGGATTGTCATATTTTCTTTGTGTGCGGTAGAGACATTTGGGAGTTTAGCCTTTGTAGACCTTATTCATGGACAAACACCTATTCAACACACTGCAGGAAAGCAAAAATCCCAAAAGCAGAATAATCCCCCTTCAAATCTTACTGTACTGACATTCCTCCTCTGGCTCTGCAGCAGGTCCCGGTCGTATGGTGACTTACTCCCTGTCTGAGTCTGCAGGAGGCTCCTTCTCTATCGATAAGTCCTCTGGCATTGTGGTCCTTGAACGCATTTTGGACCGGGAGGTTCAACCAGCCTATCAGATAGTAGTCCACGCGTCTGACCAGGGTTCACCACTGCCCCTCTCCTCATTGGTCAACGTCACCATCACTGTGCTGGACATCAACGACAACCCGCCTGTGTTTGAGCGCCGCGATCAGCTGGCAACAGTGCCCGAGGACGTGGGAGTGGGGACGGAGGTTCTGAGGGTCTACGCTGCCAGCAAGGACATCGGGACCAACGCTGAGATCACTTACAGTATCCGATCAGGCAACGAGCACGGGAAGTTCCACATCCACCCACTCACTGGTCAGTATGCTACTGTAAACATATCTCTGCAGCAGTAATCCCATTGTTGTTTATTCTTAATGTACATTTTAACATGTTCCATGTTCCTTTTTTCATATTGTCATGAACACTGCAAGCTGTCCATTTTAGAATTTAAGAAAGTGAAATGGTCAGTCATAAATACAGTTTATTCTCTGTTCATTCTTCTGTTGCATCTGGGAATATTTGAAATAATTAAACTGGTTAAAGTCCAAGTGTGCAAGTATGTGGTGGTTTTAGAACTGTCTTTACTTCATCCAAAGCTTATCCTTTCAGTATTTTCAAAATAGAGATCCATGTGTTCATGAAGCAAACTGCTAACCACTTATCTGGGATCACATTTAGGCATTTAGGATTGTAGCCTTTGCAGACCATTTACATGCACAAAAACCTAAAATGTTAACTGAAATGTTAACTTAAATTGTGATTCAGCTATAAGGTGTGTCTGTTTTGGTAGTTACAGCTCTTCTGATGTGCCAGCTAAATATGCATTCAACATTTGGGTAAGTAAGTATTAGACTGCTATCAGTAGTTACAGAACATTTAAGCGATCTAATCGGATCAGGGCAAAACAACTTGAGTGAGACATCTCTAATTCAAAAAATGACTAACACAGGAGCTTTAACTTTGGCAATATTAAACGTGGTGTAGAGTTGGAAGGTAGTATTAATGAACCATGATAAACCTATCCCCATGTTTTAATCAACTGTGTCTGCCTGCACAGGGAAGTTAAGAAGACGCCGTTCCTTCAGCTCTTACTTTCTCTGTTCTCTGTTTAAATGTTTATGACAGTATTGGTTAGGAAGACTTTTCAGACTTAATTACTGGAATGATCTGCCAAAAGGAAGAGACAAAATATGTTAATGACAAGAATCTTAAATCCGGTTGAGTTGATCGCAGAGGGGGTTTGCACTCATTAGAGTGCTGAGCGTCAAAGAATACTTGACTTTCTTGGGAGAGCAATGACAGGATCTTTTTTTGTTTCTCATCCTGGATTTATATTTTACTTTAGCTTTCCCTTGAGAGATTTCATGTGAAAAAGTCAATGCTTTAGTTTGCCCCACAACTCATAAAGGTCTGTCAGTTTCGCGAAAAAGAAAGTGGAGCTATATAGGTTTAATATTAATGTCATCTCTCTGCAGAGCGTATCTTTTTTATTTTGCCTTCAGCAGCTCTAACCTTTCTGCATCTTAACAGAAGGGAGAACTTCACTAAGATGTAAGATGTCATATTAAGTAAGACCATAATGTCATTCAAGTTCAGCCTTAAACGCTTCAAACCTTTTCTAGGAACGTGTGAATTGGAATGAAACAAGTTGACTGTGTATTTTTGTATTTATGTACCATAGGATCTCCTGTCCATGACTAACCATAGTTAGCTTCCACAGTTATTAAGTTATCACCAAAACACCATACAGCTTTTCTGTACAGAGAGCTGAATCATCTACATTTTCTTTGTGCAAAACCAGGGTTAATCGTGTACCTCTCTTTTAGAATAATACTGGGAAAAGGAGGCTGCTGGAAGTTCAGACTGATGTTGTATAATACAGAAGGTTTATTGAAGAGCTTGACAAAGAAAAACAGAAGACGAACAACACAAGCTAACACAAGAATGCATTAACATTGTATGCCACCATCAAATCTGCAAAAATCTCCTTGCGTCTGCGTAACTGATTCTTAGACTGGTCATAAACCTAACTACCTCTAATGAAACATGGCTAGATTCCAAAAAAACAAAGGCACAACTTAAAGATTTAGATGCTCCAAAAGTAAAACAACGTTCTAACTGAATGTTTTTTGACTAATGTAGGAGCTGAGCCTAATACTTAAGCTACCGAGGTGTTTTAACTTGCGGGACTCACCGTGTGAATAAGATACCGTTTATTGTGTGTCTTCAATGAAGAATCGGCAGGCTCATTTGCAGTTGTAGCATAATACAATCCATTTATTTTCTCATCATGTGTGCATATCAGTTAAAGGGGCTCAATTAAGCTTTTTGGTGTCTTCCCTTTCCTATAGTGTTATACTGTAAGGGTTTGTGTGCATGTAAATGGTCTGCAAAGGCTAAAATCCCAAAGTTCCTTCCAGAGGGAGTGTCTCTCCCAAACACTGCCACCCAGCCTGAAATGCGAAAATAAGGGGTTAAAAGCCATATGCCATACTGGGGTCAGACACAACAAATAATCTGATAGGAAACTACTAAATACCTGTGCCTTAGGACATAGACCCCTATGGCACACACAGTAAATGACAGACACTCGTGACAGATTGAACCTAAACATGACCCTTCATTAATATGGCTCTTCCATGGATGTCACAGCTGTTCTTATCTGCCTGGTGTAACCTAAGGCCTGCTTAAATGATTGCTAAGATGAATAGGACATTCTTTTATTGTAATACATGTATAGAAATATAATTAGTTTTAAAATTGCTTAACTGTTTGAACCAGGACCTTCAGTATTTGGATGAAGTTGCTTGTGATAAATAAGGTGCATCAGATTTTGTAGTTACAGCTGTTAGAGACATGAGTCCTTCAATTAAAAATAAAACAACTAATGTGTTTTCATAAAGCATCTTTCTGTGTCTTCTCTCTCCTCACCTTGCTCAGGTGCCATTTTAGTGGCCCAGCCTCTGGACTATGAGACCTGCAGGGACTACTTCCTGACCGTGGAGGCTCGTGATGGCGGCACACCACCGCTTAGCGCCATCACAACAGTGAACATAAACCTGACAGATGTCAACGACAACGCACCGATGTTCAGCCGTGAGCTGTACACTGCAGTGGTGTCTGAGGATGCTACCACCGGAGAGTCTGTGGTCCAGGTGGGTTCCAGTCCTGCATGCTTCCCTTTTCAGGTTATTTTTAGCATGTATTGGCGATATGTCCTGGAATATGATCGAACATTCAGGAGGATACATTGTAACGTTTGAAAGGACCTTCTGACCTTTTCTTTAGCACCAATAAATAGTTCTCTTTTTGCAAAAGGAATATAAAACAGCTAAAAGGCTTTTGGCACCACATATCATATTGCATCACACTCTTGTAAAACAACGTTTCATCAACGTTTTCCATTTCTGAGGTAGGTGCTGAAAAATCTATTTTACAATCACACATTCTGGAAATGAGCTTTTCTCCTGCACCGTATGCAAATTAAGACACAACGTACCCTGAAAAAGGCTCTAGAAAACCTTGGTTATGTTGTTTGTTCCACTTCAAGAGATGTATGTTTTGTTAGCTAGAATATCCTCTTTTTATATGCACTTTGTGATTTTCTCTGAGAAGAGATGTGGTGAGACGAGCGGTGGCGAAGTCCATAGGGACTTGGCTTGACAACTGGAAGGTCACCAGTTCAAGTCCCGGCAAGACCAATTGCTACCGAGGTGTCCCTGAGCAAGGCACCGTTCCCTACGCTGCTTTCCGGGTGCCGTTCATAATAATGGCAGCCCACTGCTCCTAACACTAGGATGGGTCAAATGCAGAGAAACCGTTTTGTTACTAGTACCTGTACTATGTAATGACAATAAAAGTAAAAAAAAAAAAATGGCTTGTACAGTACTAGCCTTGAAATATGTGGCAACACTTGAAAGGGAATCTGTTTGTGTGTGAGCGCGCCTCTATATTTTCATGCTTTTTCAGTAGATGGTGGTATACAGTGCATCAGGGTGGATGTCATGGCCTTCAAGATTGCTCCCTCTGAGAGTGAAATAATGGCTGTGTGGGGGGCTTTCATCAGCTCCACCACCTAAATGTTGGCAATTATTGAGTTACTGACGTTAACTGGCCTCCGAGGGATTGATAGGATTTAGTGGTTCAAGCTTTTATTTGGTGAGCTTCACGGAGAGAACAGGTGGCGAGCATGCAGCCCTGAGACAATGTTCACCTGTTAAATAGACTCGTACTTTTTACAGAAATTGCGGCTTTGCATATTTGCTTTGTTCCTATACAAGTGCAAAAAAATAGAAACATCTATCCAATAGAGAAAGGTTAGTACTTGTCACAGGTCCAGAATATTTGTAAATGAGCGTTCACCATAGACAATGCAGTTGTTAATACCATTCATTATTTTAAATAGGTTTTATTTGGAAAGCGATGAGTTTATCGACTGATTATGTAAGGAAGAATGTGCAGTGAGTTGGTCATGAAAGCAACAAATCTTCCAACAGCTTGATCAATCGCTCATTACATGGTAACTCACTGAATAAATCAATAATTGGTTATAATAATAACATTGATTTTAACATGATTTCATTGATTTAAAAATGAAAGCTTTGCTTCCATTCGGAAAAAATAATCGGTTCTATTACATAGCAACCGCTGGAACTGCGATAGCAATAAAATGATGGCAGCACTGATCACATTTTTTCTGTAACTGTCCGAGTCTGTTTACATTTCCTTTTCCATTAACCAGTGTTTGATCACTGCCAGAGCCCATATTGTGTCCCTTTAGTGATTACTTCCTGTTGGTTTCTTCTGCCGATGTCCTCATGCTCTCTGACTGGACTTCTTTCTGCTGATTGATATGACTGTACAGCAGCGGTGTGTTAGCAAGTATTAACAACCTCTGAAAGGTCCAAAATTAACCAATCAGAATTGAGTATTCAATTAAGCCGTGTAATATTAGGCAGGTGAACTGACCAGTTAAAAATTTATATATATTATAACGATATAACTAATTTCTTAAAATGTGTTGTTTTTGCTTCTAAAAAATATCACATCTGAGGTTTAGTTAAACATATTTTCTGTAACTGATACCTTGAAATATATCGAAACTCACTTTGGTGCCAGCAGATTAATATTGTAAATTAATTAATTTAATTCAGATTATAGAAATACTTCTTTTTTTATCAGTTATTTGAAATATATAGCAACTCTTACAGTTGTAGCTGTAAAATAAAAAAAGGACTAGTTCAGTTTTTTAAAAGCCAAATGTATGAGACCTGAACATCACTGCTGACCATTTCCCAGAGACTAGCTCATTGTTTTTTATTTTATAAGTATTTTCCCAGCATTCCTGGTAGCCAACAGACATATGTACTTCTGTTTGTGTCACGCCAATCAATTTTTTTGATTGTGATTACCAATAATGTAGCATTGGCAAAAGAATAAAGGTGACTAAATGGATCAGACACTTCAACATGTTTCCTCTTCCTGTTATCTGGTTATCATAATGTTCACACATTAATCGCATCTGATGGTTGCCTGGATGATAATAAAACACTTTCACAAGTCAACAGTGCCGAAGGTTTTGGAAAATGGCCAACTTTGAGTGAAAAAACACAGTATTTTCAGAAAATGGGTTAAATCATCCATAATTAATGTAACACGGCAGCTTCAATCGGCACTGAAATACACTTTAATATGTGTGAAATGTATCTAATCATGAATTGTAATAGGAATCATCAAAATGCACTGCTTATTTGTGAAGGCTATATTAATAAACCAATCTTCCAAAGCAAAGCAGCTGGTAAACTCTCTTTAAACTCTCTGAATGCTGCACTTGCAGCTGTTATCTGGCTAGTCTGATGTATAATATGTAATGTATTGCATTTTATGTGTAAACATATATAGTCCTTTTTAACAGTTCAATCATGGAAAAATCCTTCAGAACAGAGGAGGCTAATATTTAGGGGTGCACCGAATGGGAAATTCTTGGCCGAAACCGATACCGAAAATAGGAAACAGTTGGCCGAAAACCGAATGCCGAAAGGCCGAAAATGATTAATAGAAATATATATAATCCTTACATTTTTTACCAATGTTGTTCAGCTACCTGATTATGGAAAAAGACATGATTATGGCAAAACTTAACTTAAATAATAATCACTATTATGGGTCCATAAAACATTTATTCAGCACTTTTGAATGCATACAGTACATTAATTCCAAGTCAATTGCATTTTCTTTTCTCTGTAGGATAACTACAACAAAGTGCATTCAGAACAAAGCCAAGGTGCTTTAAAACTGCATAAACATCAACAAAATAGTTTAAATAAAGACTGTAACAACCAGGCCTTCAACAACAACAAATGCACCTCTAAGTGCATGCATACAAATGTGAAAACTGGATAAATCCACATGAATGTAACTATTTACAAATGAAATTACAATTGAATTTCAAGAATCTGTAAATAAGGCTGTCTGTCCTCATAAGCAAAGTAGTAAACATTGTATAAAGATACATAAAGTGAAAACTGGATACAAAATCCACAATCAATTACAAATTAAATTACAATTTCAAGAATCTGCAAATAAGGTGGTCTGTCCTCATGAGCAATGTAAACAACATGGTATCATTTAGATACCGAAAGTACAATATATTGAACACTGTGCTGTCATTTCCCCCTAATGATAACCTGAGATGGTGAATTATAACTCACAATGAAAATTGTTCAGGAAAGTGGGTATAGAGTAGACATGTAGAACTAGATAAGCTTATGATAAGCCAGCCTTGTCTACTTATTAAGGAAAAGTGGGAGGTTCTTTTTAATGAACAGTAGCTTCTCTGCTTTATCAGCCATAAGTCTGTTCCTCTTCTCATCAAGCACATGAGAGGTAGCGCTGAACAGTCTCTCGCTGTCAGTGCTTGTGATTTGATCTTACTCCGCATATTTGTCCGGGTGTTTTGATTTCAAGTGGTGGAGTAATTCCGAAGTGGTGAAAGTCTTTGCAGTTGCACCCCCTCGAGAAATGTCAGCTGAACACGTTTTACAAATCGCAATCCGCGCCTCTTTCTCTGATATTTTTAAATATCTCCAAGCGCCAGACATGTTGGCTGTGAGCCAGCCGCGAGCATGGTCGCGCGCCGTGCTTGTCGCCGCGTTTTGATTACGTCATCACAACAACACGTTAGCTTACCAACGTAACCGTACCGAAAGCCGGGGATATTTTATCGGCCCAATAACCCGTGCAGCCCAAAGCTCTATAAGGGTAGTCTTATTGTAAAGTGGTACCAATAAGTATATTGGTAAATGGATGGTGTTGAATCCGGAAGCAGATGGCTCAAAGCATTTAGGCAGGCAAAAGGTAGGCGTAGGTGTTAAAATGGACGAGTAAGTTTCCACGTATGTGGATGTGTGTGTTCCTCTTGATTATGAGAGAGAGAGAGGACACATGCGCCNCACGGACGCGTGAGGGGGTGGGCGGAGATAGGTCCTAGACCAGGGGTGGGCTCGAAGGATGTTGTCAAAATTGAAATGGCCCTTGAGAGGAAAAAGGTTCCCCACCCCTGGTCTAGGACCTATCTCCGCCCACCCCCTCACGCGTCCGTGTGCGTAGGACGGTCTAGGACCTAGCTAGCTGATTCTCCGCTCAAGAAAATGCTGAGGTGAGGTAAGGTTTTGTGATGATCCTGTTTGCCGTTAAGTTTTTCATTTGTCCAGCTTTAAGTGTAATTTTATGGATAACATTACTATTTCTTGCTCGTATGGTAATGCATAATTATAATATTTTGAAGTGTTTTTGTTACTACTTGGATAAGTTATGTTGCAGTTGTGTTCTTTTTTTATTATTATCTAGTGCTAGGCAGTTAGCGCTGTGTTGTTAGCTGTCAAAGACCTCTGTGCAGACTTATTTGACCACCGGCGATCGCAGACGGAAGTTCAAAGTTTGCTGCTCGTTTATATCGCCCAATTTTCAAAACGCGATCAAAAGTCCAAATCTCCCTGACTCGTCATCATCTCCATCTTCAATTGATTCAGAATAAGGACGCACCTTGACGTAGGCCCACTACCACAGTCTCACAGTGAGCCAAACATGTCTGTGCTATAAGAATCCTTTGTAGTTTTAATAAAGAATTTGTTTAATTGCAATTTGGTGTCCATTG